CCCCCCCGCCAGTGGCTGGACAGTAAAAAGAGAAACGGCACAGTGATAAGCTCCCATCAGTTTTCTCTTTGCACTGCAGCACACCTGATTGATTCCCCTCTCTAAGCTCTGCTTTATAGAATTAATAGTAGACCGCAAGAAGCTGAAACTAAGTCAAATTCAAGTACTTACACTGCTTGCATTTAAAAAAAATTATTGTAACAGAGCTAAATTAATTTGGGTCTTTTATATCTGCCCAGGATATAGAGGATCTTTATTTTTCACATAATTGCTCCTGTATTCTCCTGCAGAAAAAATGAATAGATGTTCTTTGTGCAGTAAAAGAAAAATAGCACCTACCTGTCGGAGTAGAGCCTTAAAAGAGAGTGACCTTAATCTCATGGTTAAATTTTCTCCAGATATTCCAAAAGAGAAACCCTAAATGAGAATAAACATTATTTTTTGTTTGTTGTCTTTTTCTAAGTTATAAATAAAGTGTGTATAAAGAAGGTTGCCTAAAAAAATAACAAGTATACATACCATGATGATATAAACAATTAGACTGATCACCCCCAGAGCAAGGAACATTAGAGAGAGTAAAATTGTTCTTGCACTTCTTTCATTCTCATCAGTAATACTAAATGACTGTAAATCAGAAGAAAAATAAATCAGCTTATAGTAAAATAACTATAATATACTATACATATAAAGTTATTTAGCTTTAAAAGTAATAACATTTAAGACAAATAAAGAAAAAAAAAATCTTACCCCTATAACTTTTCCAAAAATAACAGCAAAAGTCGGGTATATACCACCAGAAACAGCTGCTGCAATAACGCCAATGATAATGTAGCCAGCTTCAGGTTTGTTCAGTGCAAGTATTTTGCCTAAAGAGAAACCGGGAAGATCCTCCTGAACAGCCTGCAATAAATATAATCATTTGGTGAAATAAGTCAGATTTGTTACCTTTCTTACATTGTAGCAATGGTCTATCTTTTTTTTTTTTTAAAGTGTCCCAATAACGTATTATACCACTACACAGTACCTAGCAATTACAATAGGCCAGAGAGCTGCAGCCTGGGTGGTAAAAAATTTTGCGTACTCAGATTCTTAGATATAACATAACCAGTTTCTACTGAGAAATGCAGTATATCTTTTCTGGAGCACGCAGAACAATAGAAAGCATAGACACTGGCTGGATTAATAGACATCATGCATTTGTATAAAGAACATTTTGCATGTCCCAGAAATTTTGGGAGATATTGGCAACATTTTGCCATTTTGTCTAAATGCCTTGTGTTACTGAAGAAGGTGAAATGAAAATGTTGCTTTCTTTGATGGCTCATGAGGGTTACAGAAGCTCAGTTCATAGTTCGAATTATAGTTTCTCATATCCTCTTGGCAGCTAGGCTGACCATTGTGCGCCATTGGAAAAGCTTAGTTTCTCCAAATTTGTCTGAGACTGTTGCCATAGTTAATCTCCATTACCAACATGAAAGGATTGTTTCATACCGGGAAGGTTACTCGAAGAGATTTTATGACGCCTGGTCCTACTGGAAACCTTGACCTGGCTCTGGAATCTCATCCTAATGGTTGCATTGTAATGCATAACCTCTCTTTACTTGGCTTTTTCTTTTCTTTTGCTCTTTCTAGCCTCTCCGTTCTCCCTTTCTACCTGTCTTTCCATGTTCTGTTATTCTCTTCATGGGTGTATATATGCGAGATATCTGTATATGAGTACTAAGACTGCTTTAATACTGCATCGAATGTAACATGTGATCACCCTGACTGTATTGTACTTTTTTGAAAAAAACTTTCCTTGATAAAAACCTATTGAAAATAAAATAATGAAAGTGACAGTATACAAGCAATGATCAAATACAGACAGAAAAAGAAATTAACACAAATACAAAAAACATTAAATTAAATAAACTAAACACTCATAAATACATCCAAAATAACACCCCCTAAATAAAGAATTTTAAAAAAACAGACTTTTTTTTTAACGCTGAACTCTGATCACTATACAAATGTTGGTTTCCCCCCTCCCTCTTCCCCATATAAATGAGGGTGCTTCCCCTCTGTATTTTAAGGATATAATGCTCATTTAATCTAGCTAGCATACAATATATAGAATAACTCCAGCCATCAATCAGGAATGAGTGTAGTGATTTAGGCAGAGTTTATTTTGCAGCAAAATGACTGAATTTGCCATCAGGGAAATGTGCCTGTTTGGTCTAGGGGATCTAAGAAAGAAGAATACTTATCTTAGTGGCAGCTGATGTTCTTACTTAATCCCATTTCTACACCAGAATGTGGGCAGCCCTCTGAGTCATCATGTTCAATGCAGGGCCAGCAGTGGCCACTGGTTCTGCATTGTATGTGATGACACCAGCAAGGAGGGCGGCAGCACGACCAGAGGAGAGGAGTGGCTTCATGGGACTGTTTGTAGATCAGCCTTGTGGGACCAAAGAACGAGGTAGGTAATCCTCTCTATTTTGCTTTGATCAGGGAAGTATCTACATTTTTGTAGATCATGTGAGGATGTTTGCTACATGCTAAGGTGTGCAAAGTTTAAAAATAACTGCGAGTGAACAAGAACTGTTTCCATTTCTAAATGGTCATGTAATGGTCTTTTCCCTGTACGTGAACTGAATGTTTTTTACATGACTTGGTGATGTTTTATCTCAATGTCGGGTTTGGCAGTACAAAGAAGGCAATGGGGCTGGGCAGGACACTCATTTCATGTTATTGTTGAAGCATCTGCTTGTCTTTGGTCACCCAACATGCCAGTTACACAGCATGATTTTACCTCTTCTTTGGTTTCATTTTTTTTTGCCTTGGATTTTCTTTTTGTAGATCTTCGTAATTTTCTGCTACTGGAACGTCTATGTAAGTTATCTCTGCCTATGATCTCCAGATTGCCGTGGTTTTGAAAATCAGGAGCAACATCTCCATCGTCCCCTTTTATATCTTCATATTCAAACATCTCTCCTTCATCCTCCACATCATCTTCTTCTGTGTCATCATTGATCTCAGCTTCTTCCTTTTTGTCATAACTCTGTGGGTTAAAATAAATAAATGAAACGTTTACATGAATTACAACACATATTTAAAATATGAGACATAAAGGGCCAGTATGTATCTTTAAGTCAATTTTTATAATGAGATAACATATCTTTAATGTAGGATTTTTAAACTCATTTAATAAAAATACAGAACATTGGATTACAGTCTTTTGTATCAATCTGGAGTGTTATCCTGTTTACTAATGTACATTTGTTTTAGTGAAGGGATTTTTAATACATTACAGTTACAAAATAGCAGGTAAAACAGAGTGTCATACTCTCCTTCACTACTGTGGCTTAAAATTCCACAGTTAAGCTAGTTTTTAGATAAAATGTCCTTTTTGGGTTAATCAAATCTGTGTACTTTTTGAAGCTACTAAGATTATAGAGCCATCATGCCGTTAGAATAATTAAAGATATTTTATGATTGGTAGCTTTGTTATACCTTGTAGCACTTTACTAATAATTCTTGGTGTAAAATAAAGGACACTTTAAACTTACCTGCAACATTACAAGAGAATAGTAAACTCCTTTGTGTTTCATGAGATCATCATGTGTCCCTTGTTCCACCACAACACCATTGTGAAAGCCTGCAATGACGTCAGCTGTACGGATGGTAGACAGGCGGTGTGCTATCACAATTGTGGTACGGCCAGCTCTAGCCTTGAAGAGAACAATAATTAACATTCTATTGTTGCTACCAAAATGTTGTGAAATGAAACAGGAACATAACCATTGTATAAATAATCCAGTAAACATAAATAGGTGCTCTTATCACCTTGTCTAGAGCATTCTGTACAATGCTTTCGCTTTGTGTGTCCAGAGCTGATGTGGCTTCATCAAGCAGGAGAATTTTCGGGTTACGTGCAAGAGCTCGGGCAATAGCTATTCTCTGCTTCTGTCCTCCACTCAGTTGAGCTCCTCTCTCACCGACCATGGTGTCTAAACCCTGTAGAGAAATTATCATAAAATCAGCACATGGTTCTCATGGTTTTTGTAATGACACAGAGTATGATGGTTTATGGCATAGATATAGGATGTCTTTGCAACCAGCAACTTTTAGCTCAAATTCAGTTTATCATTAGAGTTTGAAAAGACTGCCAGGTAAATGGGCAGATCTCTTTCCAAGAACAACATATGGCCAGACATCTGCCAGTCTTTGTAGTGTCAGGAGCCATTATGGTTTCTCATGAGATTCATACAATGTAGTGAAGGAGCACTTTTTGATCAGCCAGGACCCAATGAGATTTTCAAATATTTTACACGATCTTCATGTGTGATACCCAGCATTTCCAAAGGAAGAATCATAGGCATGACTTCATAGGGTTTCTAAGAACTGATCTGAGCATCTGAGGTTATTGAAACGGCAATCAAGATAAAATATCAATTTGCCTTAAAGTCCAACCTTTGGAGTAAGAAAGGGTAAGAAACCTCTGTCTTGCTGCCTTTGTCTGGAGAGGATTGCCCTCAATTCCTGTCTCAGTAAGAGGAGGGACAGGACATGATCAGAAATCACTCAAATGGGTACAAGGACAGCAAAAAAACAAAAAAAAACACCTTTTCATCAGAGTGGAGAAGAGCTAGAACCTCTGTTCTGTTTTTGTTGCTGTCTGTACTTTCATGCCTCATTGACTCCCTTTATTTAAATCTTGGTGTCATAAGGATAAAAAGTGAGGGGTATTCTCCATAACAGAGTTGCAGACAGAAAAAAAATCCCAACAGAATTTCCAAATTTTTCCTGCTTTATTAAAAACAGAAAAAAGAGTTGAGTGTAAAATAAAATGGCACTTATTGAAAGTAATTGAAATCTATACATTCCTATATATTGATAGAAGTTTAGATATTGATCACTTGTGAGTATTTGTCAGTGACAGCCAATAATTTTATGGTATAAACCATTTTTATCTTTAGGATTTAAAAAAGGTAGACGACTTTGTCTTTTCATGTGATTTCAAATATATTCAAAGCTGGTAACAACCTAAAACTCTTGCATAGATATATGTAAATGCTAAACTTCTTTTACCAGTTGAATACAAAGCAACCTATATTTTAGGTTCCCCTAATGTTTTAAGTCTTTGAAATATATGCAGCATTTGTATGAGCTATTCCTCATGTATGCAATTGCCTAATGTTGCCCTTGTCTGTTAGTGTGCTTACATGACATGCAAGCAATCAAAAGGACTTACATCTGGGAGTTTAGATATAAAATCATAGGCATTGGCTTCTTTAGTAGCTTGTATGATCTCAGCATCAGTAACGTCCTCTCTTCCATAGCGGATGTTTTCTTTGATTGTTGTTCCAAACAAAACAGGCTCTTGACTAACAACTCCAATGCTTTCACGCAGCCACTTCACGTTGAGGGTACGTATGTCATGCCCATCAACAGTCACCTTGTAGAAAGAAAAAAAAAAGATATTGCTTACAGCTGAAATCTTACATGCATCTCATTAAGATCCCATGGTAACTAATAAAATCATTCATTAAACCTCTAATACTATTTAAGAAACAATGGACCTATCCTAAAGTCAAAGAGTTCATTCAATGTACCTTGTTCTAAAGTTTGTATAAATTGCCCGTGAAACTTTGCAGCAAAATGAGGGCATGTGGTGCCTCTGGCAGGTGTTGTGGCATCTTGCCAATCATCTGATGCTCTGGGACATCCATTCCTGACATCTACAAGCAATACTTTATGTAGCCTGCACACAAATGTGATTTTGAGATTATGGGGGTGTATAATAAGAATTTGGAGAGGCCTTCATGATCAGATCTGGGAATCCATGCAATGCAAAACTAGAGTCTAGGACAAGGTGGTCCCAAAACCCAGATTTTAGATAATGGAGCGGCCTAGGTTTCCAGGATGTAGAGTGTTCAAAGTCCTGTGGTATATATACTTTTAAGTTGCATTGTTAATTGAATTGTACATCTAGACACACATATTTTTGCAAGCCTTATATAAGTCCATTTCATACCTCCCCTACAAGAGGGTCATAGAATCTCTGAAGAAGCTGAATTGTGGTGCTTTTTCCACAGCCACTGGCTCCAACTAGTGCAACAGTCTTTCCAGCTTGTACTTTAATGTTCAATCCCTTTAAAATCTAGAAGAAAATTAGTACATGCATAAGTAAATCAATGACTGCTCTTTTCTATATTTTTTTTGGGCATTTTCATATTTTCTAATGTTAGTTCAGCAATTGTCTGGCCCATTAATGGTGACACGAGTTACATGCTCAGTGATCTCTGTGCATATGGTACTTTTTTCCTTGGTTCTGGAGCTAAAATAGAATAGAGGAGGGACAGAAGATATAATACAGGTACACAATGTCTAACATGAGCAGTGTGGTGAGTCAACATTGTGTTATCTTTGCTGAGGCATATCAGGTGAATGCAATTGTACTATGGGCGATTTACCTAACAACACAGTGAAAATAAATTAGCGCATATATAGGAATTTTATGTATATATTGCGTCCTAATTGGTAATATATAAAGCGTATTCATTCATAACCCAGCAGTTCATGTTAATCAAAACTTAGATGAGCAGTACTTGGTATTTATTTGCTTGAATGTAAAACTCAAAAGTACTAATGGTTAAAACTTTCTTTTATGCACAGACAGGAACATAAACATAATGAATTGTCCTAGCATGCATGTTAATATTAATATGAGAATGAGAAGAAACACAGCCAGACACCTTCAGTGTCAGCTTAAATCAGGGCAAACTATAGCAGAATTTCAAAACTGTCTTTCTTTACTTCCTATGAAATCATTCAGTTTTGGTCTGATGTAGTCTGCTTCCACACTCACATGAGAATTATCACCCAATCCAGACAAAAATGGGCAGACTGAATTATGGACAGCTTTATAGTGAACATTCAGGACATTAGTAGGTCACCATGGTGTTTTATAAGAATATTCAGAGTAGAATTTCTTATTGGGTTGTATCGGGCTGAAATCTATTGTAGCACCGCTTACTCACGGGGCTATTTACAAAAAGGTGAAGAGTTTGGAGAAGGCAGGAGAAGTGAACAATCTAGGACAACAGTGAGCTGAATTGGAGAATCTTTCCAAAGCAGCTATTTTGGCCTAGATTGTTCACTTCTTCTGTCTTCTCCAAACTCTTCACCCTTTAGTGAATCGCCCTGTCAGTCTTTGCTATACATCAGCTTCAGCAACCTAAAACCTTAACCACTTAATTAGCAGACACTTACTTGTGTATCTGGTCTGGTTGGGTAGGAAAAATGAATGTTTTTGAAATCAATATTCCCTATCAGTTTATCTGGTTTGTGCCCAATGTTTGAACTGCTGTCTATTGGTCTGGGCTGGAAACAAAAAAAAGAAAATGAAAATATCAGGTTATAAAAGTAAAAAAGATAATTTGGTATTACAGAAACTTATAATTATAATCATAAACATAATTCTTTATATACATCAAATATGTAAAGGATATACAGTGTTTATAGGTATTCTCTTTATTATGTGTTATGTTCAGTGATAAAAAAAATATATCTATTTTAGGTTCAAACGAGAGCAGACGCATTTTCCTAATCATACTTCAGCAGTGCTGTGAAACGGGTCTACAGGGCAGCTTAAGAAGCCTGTAGAGTGAATCAAAAGAGGAGAGACACACCTACTCCCTCTCTCTTAGCAGACACATTACTATCCTGCTAAGACAGTTATAAGCTGTACTTCCAAACATGCAATCTGTAGTGAATTATCGTATAAGAAATCCCAGTGTGCTTTGCAAACCGTGTATCATGGATGCATCCTATATTAAATGTTCATTTATACATAAAGAATTTATCAAAAATAATTGCAAAAATATATTAATAATGTTTAATGCTTTACTGCTCAAACAGATTTTTTCCCCCACAAATGTTGTTAGCCTAAATAAAGCAACCACATCTAAGGACTGGCATGTTACAATATATTCACTTATTTAGGTTTAGATGATTGTTGATCTAATGAGTGGAAACAAAAAAGCTTAAGCATAAACTGCAGTTATCTTTAGTAATTCATAGTAAATTTTAATACATCACAGTCAGAACGCTAACAGGTCTATTCACAAACGGGTGAAGAGTTTGGAGAAGGCAGGTGAACAATCTAGGACAACATAACTGAACTGGAAAGTGAGCTAAATTGGAGAGTTTTTCCAAATTAGCTATCAGCTAGATTGTTCACTTCTCCTGCTTTCTCCAAACTCTTCACCAGTTAGTGAATAAACCTATAAAACATCCAATTGCTTGCTATGGGTTACTACAGATAGCACTCCTGGATGAAGGTTTACAGAGTAAAACAAAGGGCAAATTGCACTAACCCATTAGCAACCAATCAGAATTCAGACATAAGTAATCATAAACCTGATGATTTGTTAAGTGCTACAGCTTTTTTGCACTTTAAACAGCTTTTGAATAAACCCATTTTTTTTTATGAGCATGGCCTCATATTAATATGTCAAGCTATTGTGTGTAGTACTCGTTGCTAGGCTAGCAGTAACATCTTTATAACAGACTTAAAATATGCAACAAATGGGAGCGGGGTTGCATAAAAAAATGCAAGCAGTTTATTCAAGGACATAAACTAGCTTGTCAACAGAAGGAAGTGAACATGTGTTTTGCTCAGTATATTTTCTTAGTGACAGTTTCTCTTGCCTTCCAAAGCCCAGAATCTCAGTGTAACTCTGTGAATACTAAATAAAACTTACATCAGGGCACACGGTGTTATTTCACTGTCTTTTAGGTTCACAGACATTTTGATATCTGGTGGAAGGAGCACATGTGGTTCTCGTTGCAGTCAACTATACCTAATTCATAGAGAAACGTTCCATGAATTTGGCCATTAGAACCATCAAACCCAATGGTACTATGTTAAAATTAAAAGATAATAAGGTCATTGCAACAAAATTGGAGAAAACAAACATGAGAACAAAATTCAAATTATTGCCTTTGGTAACAAATTATAATTCTCATTTTTTTCATAACATGAAAGGTGAAACTGAATTGGTTCCTATTGGCAACAACTTCATTTTTGTTTTTTTAATTGCATTTTATTTTCTCAAGTTTTAATGCATCAGTCTCAGCGTCTATTTTATCCCCACTTATAAAGCCACAGTTGCTTTAAGACAAAGGAGAGTCTGTGGCATTGGTCACGTTGGTGGACAACTTTAATTTCACTTTGTGAATGCGCAACTGAGTCCTCTGACTTCTGTGCTTAGCACAGGCCTTTTGTTGTTGTTCATCAATGCATGCAGATAAAAATTTCCCTACTAGCAATGATAAGAGCAGGCACCCTGAAATATTTTCTCTTAGAAACTTTTAAATACTGTAAATTGCAGACACATGTCTCTTTTTTGGCTTGGGGAATTTTAGCACTGGACAGGTTTTCAGTATGATTACAGCATGTTTGAGCGATGACCAAATCCCATTTAACCTAGTGCCATGCTTTTGTAATGTCAGAGGAAGCCACATCTAGGAAAACGCCATGACACAAACATGCAAACTGAATGGAGGTAGAGACCCTGTCCAGTATGAAACTAAGGGCTGTTGAGTCTCCAAGCAACATGCATGGCCACTGATCTAGCATACTAACCCACATAGGCAACAGCTACAAATGTGAGTGTATGAACATACCTTATTGATGATATGATACACTTCAAAGGCAGCCCCACGTGCATTAGCTATGCTCTCTAGGTTTGGTGCAGCTTGACCAAGGGAAAAAGTCCCAATAAGCACAGAGAAAAACACCTGTTCAAAAGAAAACACAATGTCAAGTTCTTGGTATCTTAAACTTTTCACTGGACAGTTTGTTACATATTTTTTATCCTAAAGACACCATATATTTTAAAAGATATATAAATATTAATATGAAGCATGAAAGCTATAGCTAACTGGACATGGATCTAGTTATCTTCCAGAGCAGCCCAAGAGCCCTATAACCCATAGTTCAGTAATATGCATGTACCAAAAAGTCTGGCCTGCTATCTCCTGGGCCTCACCAGTGGTCCAATAATGTGATAGGCAGCTTCACTAACCAATTGTTACATGAATAGCACGTTTGCATAATAGTGGAGCAGAGTTCCAAAGCAATCTACAAGATAACTCAGACTCCTAGTGGTGTTTGCTCTGCCATTAAAGAGGTGGTTTACTAAAATTTCAGAGACTTTGTTTTAAACTTGTCTGTTTTAAACTTGTCAATTACCACCCGAGATCCAGCTTCATTTGGCTATTCTTGGCAGTTGGGCCAAGTGACGCAGCACAAAGGATCCCAATTAGACATGGTTTATTCAAATGCTTTACCCTAAGCAAGACAAAATGTCCAAGCACACAGGGATACCACCTCTAGAATGGCCATCTACACCTGCCTTGACCCTCTGACTTCTCTTGTATTTCTTCAAGTATCCCCACTAGAGTTCCAGCCTATGCCTTTTTAAGGTGGTCATTACAAAGTCAAGTGAAAAGGCATTACATTGCCAGCTGTATTATCCATAATGACAAAAAGAGAGTTTCCAGGTAAGAAACACTCTGATAAAGGTCATGGAAGATTGGGACAGTTTACAAGATCTCATCACTAGAGGTTCTTACAAATAATACATTGATGGGAGATTTAGTCCAACTGCATATACCAAAATCTGGAATATAAATTTTGGTTGAATTCATTTTTAGTAGTAGTAGTAGTAGTAACAACAGTAGTAGTAACAGTTAAACAAACTTACAATTAACACTTTCCCAATGGTGTATATGCCCGGTTCATCTGTTGTTAATTTGGTCCCATACCAGAAAGCTAGGGCATAAGCTCCGAAAATGAGGAACTGTGTAAGCCCCAAAGATACATTTGTTGTAATAGACTTTTTAATGCCCACTTTTTTTGCTTCACGCAAGTTGACATTGTACCTGCAGGAGAAAATGAATCTCTAGTTAATAACAGTTTATTGATATAAGTTTCGAAAAACAATTAGAATTCCTAATAAATCTGGACTTCACATATAACTAAAAATGTCATTTTAGAGTGGATCAACCCTTTGAAAATGTTTAATGGGCACCTAATTCAATTTGGAATATGTATTTTAAAAGCCAGCTAAACCATTTTTAGGCAGTAAAGAGACAGAAGCACCGACAGGTTTTTACTGCTCTCCCTAGTGTGGACTTCCTTTCTCAGTGACACCCTGTCAAACCTGGACAAATAGAGTGTCACTGTGACAGAAGTGAGGGAAAATGTACCCATTGGGGAACCAGACTGTAATAAAACCTGACAGTGGCTCTATTGCTTTCACACTCCTAACAAAGGCATTTTTTAAAATCTCTGTTTGGGTTTATGTTGTAGAGAGACACAAACAGAGATTTCATTTCCTGCCCCAGTGGGAGAGAGGGAATTACTTTAAGGCTGTGTTCACCCTTTTGGTTTGCAGTAAGGTGTGGTAAAAGCATGTTACCAGAATACCCCTGATTTATTTTTGATGTTTTACCATCAATCAGTATCCCGTCCAGCTCCTGGCAACCAGTGATGTCACTGGTTGCCAGGAGCTGGGCGGGACACTGACCCGAGCATCCCACTCAGCTTCTGGCAACCAGTGACGTCATTGGACAGAGTGTCCCAGGTTGCTAAAAGCCGGGCAGGGAGATGTGTATGGTCCTTACTCATCTACCCGGGATTGTGTAGCAGAAGCGCACGCACGTGATCCGAAGAAAGACTGTCTGAAGCAACAGCCTCAGGCTGCCTCAATAAAGGGATGGCCCTGAATGCACCTCAGAAGGACTGTTCACTAAAATGCAATGCACAAAGCATCGCAGTGCAGCACAACGCATATTCCGTATATTGTGGTGAGCACCTCAGAAGGACTGTTTAGTAAAATGCAATGCACAAAGCATCGCAGTGCAGCACAACGCACATTCCGTATATTGTGGTGAGCTGCATTGCTAAAAAAGTGTTCACAAGCTTTTTTTTTTGTAGTGCATTGACAGACTATTTAAAATGAATGGGCTACCTCAATGCAACGCACCTTAAGGTGTGACATAAAGCGCATTTATGCACTGCAAGGGATTCCAAACATGTGAAAAGGCCCTAAAAGTAGGATGTGACACCTATGAGTGCTTGGTATTCAACGCTATCATTGCTTTAGTTTGCCTGCTAATGTTACAGCCACACTTTGATATATTACATAAAACATTATACATCAGGGATATTGCAACAAATGTAGAAAGATCCAGTATAGGAATGGGATCGTAAATAGCACACTACTGATTGCACGCACTTTGCCAGAGCCTTTTCTTGCCCATTAAAAGCAACAACTGTCCGTATTGCAGTAAGGACCTCCTCTGCCACGGCTCCAGCTTTAGCGTAAGAGGTCAGTTCTTTTGTCGTGAAGATAGCCAGTAGCTATAAAAAGAAAATATGGTCTTGTTTTATATCAAATTTAGCAGTACGTCGAGCATCATATTTTATAACAGAGCCTTAATGAGGAAAAAGAACATTTTCTACTATAGATATTTGTGTGAGAGCTTATGAATATGACACTTAAGGACGAAAAGTTCTCAAAAACATACAGGTGTTCTATTATGGGTAATTAAGCCTTTCTATGGAAAAGTTGAGCAGCTTGTACATGAACAGATTGCTAGAGCCCTGTGCCAATATTTCACATGAAAAGAGAAGTGTAGACAATGATTTTTCCCCTATCGGACACAAATCTGCTTTAGTCTTAGTTGCAAATCCCTAATTATCAGCTATTGTCACCCCCCATCTCTACAATTGTATGCAATAATATGACAGATTTTTGCAAGCAGTATTTAAAGCTCATTACCTGGCAAACAGATCTTTATGCAGTTGAGCAAAATATATGTAACTTTCATACCTAACAAGGGGTTTGTAATTATGAGCAGGCAGTACTAAAATCTAGACACCTCTGCCAAGCTGTATAGCATGATTCTTCACCCCCTGAGACCACTCTGTACACTATAGCATTGTCTAGGATCCTCCCAGCCTGTGGTTGGACAATAAAATAGCAGCAGCACATTGATGAGATCATAATTCCACTCTCCCCTCCTCTAAGGTCTTATGCACACATGCCTCCTGGGTTTGACTTAGGGAAGATTGATCTGGGAAATATAAAACTTTTACCTCCCATATTCATCTCTCCTACATTTAAATGTACTTGCATTTACATGGGTCTACATGTATTTACATGCCACATGTCTACATGTGTTTAGCTGAAATAAACCATGCTAAATGGTCCTGCGGTGCACCTATTTCTTTTTGTGCATACGCAGCTACACTGATTGCACTTAGATGCTGCTGAACATCTAGGTGCATTCTATCAGCCATACAAAAGCAATATACACTGAGTGGCCAGATTATTAGGACCACCTAACGTTTGTAGGCAAATTAGCTATAATTAGCTATAATTTCGCACTGAAGTTGCTAGAGGGCCAGACCATTATAAATAGGGAAGCAGGTTGTTTACCACGACAGTAGAAGTGATGTTTTCACCTTTCAACATCTCGTGGAGTCACGAGGCGGCCCGACAAAGCCATCTCGTGGAGTCATCTCGTGGCCCAAAGAAGTACTGATGGGATGGTCATAATAATCTGGCCACTCAGTGTATACTTCCAGAAGTATTTAGAAATGAGCTCCAAATGCATCTGGTTGCATGTATTGTGATGCCTGTGTGCATGAGGCACTACTAGTGTTAGACAGCACTAAGCAATCCAGCAGAACAAGCTTCCTGTGCTGAACGAACAGCACTGAGCAATGCAGCATATCGAGCTTCCAGTGTTAGACAGACAGCACTAGGCAATCCAGACATAACCTGACTATATAAAAAAGCTGCGACTCCCTCTTCCAAAAGTGCCTACAGACATTAGAGAATGTTTGTTTGTATAAAAATAGTACACCTATCAATGCCTGGTGCTGCTAATTAGAAGAACAGCTATTCGGATTGACTGATTGTCTACCCATTACAAGCCTTCGCGATCTTCAGACCAGATCTTGAAGCAGACATTAGATATCCCTATTTATCCAACATACACAGGCACTTGACAGTGCATAACTGGCAAAATCCCCACAGAGCACATATCCATTACAGGTAAACAAGCAAAGCAAATACAAAAATGATTCAACTTACTTTGGACCACAATGCTGCAGATACACCGAGCAGAGGGCTTACTGACAGGATTACCAGTGTCAGTTTCCAGCCATTTATAAATCCAATGATGATTCCAGTCAAAAAAGTTGAAAAGTATTGAACAAATATAGAGATTTTGTCTCCAAGTCCATCATGTATAGTGTTAATATCACTAAAAAAGAAAAATATGGCATTGTACATTGCATTTTTTACAACAAATTTTTATTATTGTATACAGGAACTGGTGCAGGAAATTAGCAGCGGTAATATGCAGCAAAGGATGAAAAAAGGTGAACAGTATTTGGCATTTGTTTATGATACAGTAATTTAGACAACTAAAAGGTTGATTTACTAATGCAAATAGGCTGTTCTCTTTGCAAGGGCTTAGCATGGGAGTGTAAATAGCACACTACTCGCACTTAGTAGGGTGAATGTGGTGAAAATTCACTTTGCAATAAATCATGTGCAGGGAAAATAGAACAAAAAGTATTTTTGCTTGCACATGATTGGGTGATGAAAGTCAGCAGAGCTTCACCTCATTCACTGAACTAAGGGGTGCAGGGGAAGCTACAAAGTGTTAATTTCCTTGCAAAGTGAACAGCCCATTTGCCTGTAGTAAATCAACCCCCAGATAAGGTTTACATGTACTTTACTGATCCCTCAGAACTATGAAATACTGTGTTAGATGTTATCACGCATATATAGCTTGCTATAGATCAGTCTGTATTCATTAGACATTCTTACTCAGTCAGTCTGGTGTTGAGTGTCCCAATCTGGGTGGTATCAAACCAAGTCATTTCTTGATGAAGCACAGCTTTAAAGAACTTCTGTCGTATTCTATGAGCCTGTCTTGCAGCAGATATCACAAATGTCCAAACTTGAAAAAAGCTAAGAACCAACGTAGCACAGCCAATGGCAACATAATAATATGAATATCTATAAAGAAAAAACAGACCACAAGAGTTTCACAATACTATATAGTCAATATTGATGGCACATTACATTGAACAAACGAGACCAGTGACAACTAAAATAACAGACTGCAAGCAGGTATAAAGGTACACATCTACATGTGTATACCATGCTGCTGGCGTATAAACAGAGGAATGATAGTAGATACTACAGTATTTCCTCCGGTTAGTGGACAGCCAGCAGGTAGATTAGGTATCCCTCATCTTATTTACTTTTTTAGTCTGCAGAAGAGGAAAAAAATAAAAGTGTGAAGTTCCCCCCCAATTCATACCAGACCCTTTATGTCTGGTAGGAATGTTAGGAGGGACCCCCCCCCCCCTCCAAGTTAAAACAAAAAAATGCGTGGGGTTCCCCCAAAATCCAATCCATACCAAGCCCTTAAGGTCTGGTAGGAATTTGAAGGGGGATCCCCAGCCCCCCAAAATGGGGGGGGGACCGTGGGGTGCCCCCTAACATTCCTACCAGCCCCTTGATCCGAGCATTGGCCTGGCAGGGCAGGAAAGGGGGGGCGATTGAGCCCCCCCGGTGCCTTACCAGGCCACGTGCCTTCGGCATTGGGAGGGTGTCCCCATGCAGATGGGGACAAGGGCCTCTTCTGGGGGGGAGCTCGATCGCCCCCCCCCCTTTCCTGCCCTGCCGGGCCAGTGCTTGGATCAAGGGTCTGGTAGGAATGTTAGGGGGGACCCCACATTTTTTTGTCCTTTTTTGGGGGCTGGGGTTTCCCCTTAAAATTCCTACCAGACCTAAAGGGCCTGGTATGGATTTTGGGGGAACCCCACTCACATTTTTTTTGTTTAAACTTGGGGGGTCCCTCCTAAAATTCCTACCAGACCTAAAGGGTCTAGTATCAAATGGGGGGGGACCTCACGCTTTTTTTTTTTTTTCCTCTTCTGCAGACTAAAAAAAATGTAATTTTGCTGTAATGGAATTTCATCCAACAAACGAAATTTTGTCCAAGAAACGAAATTTCGTCCAGACTACCGCTAACGAATTTTGTCCAAATCCGAATCCTGAAACAAATCAAATTTCGGACCCGAATCCCGAAAAACGAAATAACGCAAGTTCGAATTCAAACGAATCATAACAATTTTTTTGCCAGTGCACATGTATAGCATCCACTATTTTATATCTATAGGTACCCTTGCACTGTTTTAGGTAGATTAGTTGTCCACCATCTTATGTCTATAGCTACCAATACACTGTTTGTAGGTGAATTAGGTGTTCATCATTTTATATCTGTAGTGTACCCTTGCACTGTTTTAGGTGGATTAGGTGTCCATCATCTTATGTCTATAGGTACCCTTGCACTGTTTGTAGGTGAATTAGGTGTTTATCATTTTATATCTGTAGTGTACCCTTGCACTGTTTTAGGTAGATTAGGTGTCCTTCCTCTTATACCTATAGGTAACCTTACACAATGTTTGCCGAAAGTTTTGTTGAAATTCGGTCATTTGTAATATTTTCTTACCTTGTCATTTCTGCTTCTATGTCAATAGTACCAATGATCTTTTGATTACATTCTCCAGGTAGAGGGGGAGTAATATTTAATGCTGTTACTATGGGAAAAGACATAAAAACACAAAAATGGAGTATAATTTCATTTTACACAATATGTTCTGTTTGGTTTCTCATGTTTTTTTTGTATTGTTTTTCATGATTTTATGATTTGGGGGTCATTTCACAAAAGCGTTTATTTTAATGGGTGGATGCTGAATAATTTTACTGGCATTTTGCATAATTTGAGGGATCCAGAGCCTCCACTCTTAACCCCCTTCCATGGAGTCTCATTCATTCTGTTGCTTTCCCAATAAAGTAATATAGTAAAATAAAAATGAACAGAGAGGATCCCTCAATCAAGGTCATGGCAGGTGGTAGAGCTGGGAAGTCAGGTTTTTACTGGATCTTTTAGCCTTTGTACTATTTTAATGACTTTACTGCTGTTGTATGTTATACATTAAAACGTGTTTGAAATGAAATGAAAACATGCATGACGCTTACTGTTTTGGTTCACACTACTCTGAACGAAAGCATCTGTCATCTCCCCAAAGACTATGATCATGATGGGAAGTCCAGTGCCGGCGGCAAGTGCACATATTATTCCAAGGATCATCAGTAGTATATCCCATTTATCAGCATAGCCAAGCTGCAAGGAAAACACTATTATATTTCTAATCACTTAATATGATACTTTCAGTGAGTAATGTGATCCGTTCACGCACGGATTTCCTGTAATGTCATATAACCTGGAAATGCCTTTTCTTTGTATGCTCATGTTATTTTAAAGCTGAAACTCCAGGAAAACCGCTAAAAACAAAAAGCCTGCAGCCGTCAAAAAAAAACACAAACAGTAACTGCAGCTGACTGACTTCAGTCACTGTTCAGCTGACAATTTTTCACCCAGTTCCTTCAATTTTCAGATCAAGGTTTGTGGAGCTGGCAGAGCTACTGACGGATTGTATTTTGGCTAGGGATGCACCGATACTTTTCCGATACCAGTGCCGATACTTGGCATTTTCATGAGAAATACCAGGGTTGCAGCGGTTGCAGCTGGGACCTGGCTCTGGCGCTCCACCACTGTCCTGAAATCATTAGTCTGTATTGTTTTTTGGAAAACTGTCACATGACAATAAACAAAAATGTATCAGTACTTGTCTCTGTGAGTACTTGGGCATGCATCAGTACTTGTACTTGAAAAAATGGTATTGGTGCATCTCTTTATATATGTTTAGAAAAACCAAATCATACATTAAAACAGAGATGTACAAATCCCAGGAGCTCCGTGTGCTCCTTACAAACGACAGCTGCCTCCTAATTTTTGAATTTTTCTCTAGTCTAGTCTTGGAGCTGGAAAAGTATCTGTACTTGTACCGAGTACAGTACTTGGTATCATTGCATCCCTAATTTTGGCTGAACAAAATGTGATTTGTGTATGGCCAGTATTACATTGAATTATTACATATTAGCCCTTCACTTGAAGCCTACTGACTGGACAGTGAAAGAGCAGCAGTAAACTGATAAGGTTATCTCTCTGCTCACTCTCTTCTCCCCCTCCTATCAGCATGTTCCTTGTCAACATTTGCATGCAGCCCGCCTGACTGACTTTCAGTCCTGTCCCTCCCGCCCCCAGGGTGCTGCTGTATAGGGGATTGTAAGATACCGATATCAAGTCAAATCAGGTACGTACATTTCTCAATAAATATATGGCTGCATTAACATGTGTATTTTATATACCAGTTCTGAGATTTACACAGCCCTGTCAACAGGGGGGCAGAATATCTGATTTTTGTCTGTTGCAGTTAATGAAGAACTCAGAGCAAACAAAATCTTAAACCTTGCAGTGGGACTACCCCAGCACTGAAAAGGTTAAGTGCCCGTTATATTTAGGGAGCTAAAAGAACAAAGTTATACTCACCCGAAGCACGATCCCGCCTGGCTCCTAGAGGGTCCCTTAAGCCTGTCTCCTCCTCCGCTCTGTCCCTCAGCATCCTCACCTAATATACAATGTATAGGACTTGATGACTCACTGGACCTTAGACAGCTGGAGCGTAGGGGGGAGTGAGACTGAAGGGACCAGTCTAGGAGCCAGCCGGGATTGTGGTTCGGGTGAGTATAACTTTAGCTCCCAAGAGAAAAGGGTTAAAATTTTGTTTGCCCAAAGTTCTTCTTTAATTTAGACTTGCAGGTCTCTACCCTGGCCCTAACATGTAACTGTAAGGGAAGAGCAAACCTCTCTGTCACTCTACTCTCTCCTTCTATCAGCATGCTTGCAATGCAGCACAACTGATTGACTCATTGTGCCGCATCTTCCTCCCCTACTCTGACCTCTGTTGTGCAGGGACAGCAAGAAACTGAAACCAAGTAAAATGCAGGTACTTACAATGCTTGCATTTATAAAACACTAGGGTGTTTAAATGATCACAGAGCTGCATAAGTTGTGTCTTTAATACCATCCTGGAGTTCAGCTTTAACTAGAGCTGCAACAACTACATCGATAATAATTGATAAGAATAGTTGGCAACTATTCTCATCATCGAGAGAGAGAGAGGTGGGGGGAGAGAGAGAGAGAGAGCGGAGAGAGAGAGAGAGGAGAGAGAGCGGGGGAGAGAGAGAGGGGGGGGAGAGAGAGAGAGAGCGGAGAGAGAGTAGAGAGAGCAGAGATCGCGAGAGCTGGGAAAGAGAGCGGAGAGAGAGAGAGCGGAGAGAGTGCAGAGAGAGAGTGGGGAGAGAGAGAGAGAGCGGAGAGAGAGAGAAGGTAGAGAGAGAGCGGAGAGAGAGAGAGAGAGAGAGAGTGCAGAGAGAGAGCGGAGAGAGAGAGTGCAGAGAGAGAGAGAGAGAGTGCAGAGAGAGAGAGCGGAGAGAGAGAGAGCGGAGAGAGAGAGAAGGTAGAGAGAGAGAGAGAGAGGGGAGAGAGGGACAGGGGAGAGAGAGAGAGCGGAGAGAGAGAGGGGAGAGAGAGAGCGGAGAGAGAGAGAGAGCAAAAAAATTTTATACAACCAATCGATTCGCTGAAAAAATAATCGGGTAACGAATCGATTATGAAAATAATCGTTAGCTGCAGCCCTAGCTTTAACGGCAAGCTGGATATTTATTATCTAGTAAAACGTATTTCACAATACAGATCCTTCATATCCACCTAATTACATCAGTTCTATTCAGCAATATGCAAATTGGTACAATCAAGTTGAATCTTTTTTGCCCAAAAATAGCATTACTCTAAACTACATACTCACCAGCTCTATAGAGCCCACCATGTTTTTTGCAGTTGCTTCATTTTTCTTTCCTTTCTTCCCTCTAATCAAACATAGAAATAATTCTCAGTTTAACAGGATTTGCAGAAAATAATTCTAGTTTTTGTAAATAAACGTGAATAATAATGTTCATAACATATCCAACAACTTGCAGTATAAAAGCCTTATCAGTGATTGATGGCCCTAGAATTATTGCTCTCACTGCGACGTTCGCGGCTATATGTAACATGTGCGGCGTAATGGGCACAATCCTCGTTTTCGCAGGCATGCGCCCCTGACGCATGTTTGCATGCGTGTATATATGGGGGGAACTTTAAAAATAAATCTTTTTTTTTATTCTTTTTTATTTCCTTTTTTTTTTTTCCACTTAACTTTATTGCTATCAGATAGGGGGCTAAGAAACCCCCTTATGTGATAGCAATAAAGTTTAGTGGGAAAAAAAATTAAGTTCCCCCCCCAAATTTTTTTTGAAGTTACACATAAAAAAGAATACAAAAACAAAAAAATTTAGTAGTAAAGTCCCCACCCATACATACACGCATGCAAACATGCGTCGGGGGCACACACGTGCAAAAAAGACGATTGCGCCCATTACGCCGCACATGTTACATATCGCCACGAACGTCAGACTGAGAGCAATAATTCTAGGGCCATCAATCATTGATAACACTAAACTGATGAGCGGTAAAAGCTTTTAAAGCGTCGCTTATGACCAATTTTGGGTATGGTAGTTTTCTGCGATTTCGCCGTTGCGCGCAATTTTAAAGCTTGACATGTTTGGTGTCTATTTACCCGACGTGACCCGGTCTTTTATATTTTACCAAAAAACTGGGTAATAATAAATGTTTCCTAACATAATGTAAAAGAAAAAAATTCAGTAATTTTTCCTGAATATAGTAAAAAATAAAACCCCCCAGTGGTGATTAAATACCACCAAAAGAAAGCTCAATGTGTCCCCAAAAAATGGTATAAAATTCATTTCAGTACAGCGTTGCATGACGGAATAAACGTCAGTCAAAGTACCACAGCGCTGAATACTGAAAAATGGCCTGGACAGGAAGGGGGTGTAAATACCTGGTCTTCAAGCGGTTAAAGGGAGAAATTTAAAAAAAAAATAGGCTTTAATATCACTTTAAGGTTTCTCTTCACTTTACTGTTTTATTGTTCAGATTAATGAAGGATACAATGAAAACATATTTCCGGATTATAACAAGGGCCCTGTGTAGTTGTCACTAGTCACTCCCGGGCTGGCACTATAGTAATACATATTGAGATCAATTAAAATCTCAATTATTGTGCATTATTTATGGCACAAAGGACAAAATATGATTTGTAAAAGCAGTGAATAGGAATAACCTGTCTGTTGTAGTGAATATTTTTTTGAGTATAAATTATGAATCTAAAATCAGCAACTTGATGACATTGTGTAATGAGCAGCTTGAGATTTAATATTGGTTGTTGTTATTATTAATACAGGTATTTTATATGTCACTGACCTTTTACATAGAGGGGAATTTATCAAAACTGGAGCAGGCAAAATCTGGAGCAGCTATGCATGGCAACCAATCAGCATCTCTCTTTAATTTTGAATCCTTAACTGAACAAACTAAAGACAGAAGCTGATTGGTTGCCATGGGCAACTGTTCCCCCCATAGTGCTTTACATACTGTACATTTATATTAGTCCAAACAGGGATGTCCCCAGCCTTTTTTGACTCCTGAGGCTGAAGGGGGGGTGCTAGTGGTGGTGCACACAATCAAAGCAGTGGGAGCTGGGTAGAGGAGACAGTGCCGCCAGACATGAGAGTTATGCCACCCTCTGCAGGCTCTGCATCTCTCTTCCCAGCTCTTAGCAACCTGGGACGCTCTGGCTGGCGTTCCCCCAGCTCCTGGCAACCAGTGATGTCACTGGTTGCCGGGAGCTGGGCAGGACGCTGGCCAGAGCGTCCCAGGTTGCTAAGAGCAGGGTAGGGAGAATTGTATGGTCCTTACATATCTCCCCATCTGGCTTCCAACAGCTGGGACACTCTGGCCAGAAAGGGGATAGCAGGCACACCCACATGACCCAAAGAAATACCATCTGGGGCAACAGCATCAGGCTGCCTCATTAAAGGGCCAGCCAGGGGCGTAACTAGAAATCACAGGGCCCCATAGCCCCATAGACTCTCTATGGTGGGCTCTGCAGGGTCTCAGGTGGGCGGTCAAGCCCTCTTACCTGTCTGGCCGATCCTCTGTCCGTCTCCTTCTCCTCCACGATCGCTTATGAGCCCCACCTCCTCGATTGCTGGGCCCCACCTCCTCCATCGCTGCTGACGACGGGCCCAGCCACCTCTCCACAAAGCTGCTGGTTGTCATCGACTCAGCAGCTGTGAGGAGGTACGCGCCGCTGCACATGTGAATGGCTGCGTGTTTCTCCTCACAGCCGCCAGTGACAGCCAGCAGTCTGAAATGCCATAGCGACCCAGGCAGCCGGCACGGCATCAGGGGAGCGTCCTGGCCGGGCCCCACGGGGGCCCATATCTACCACCTGGGTCGCTATGGTGATTGTTACGCCACTGGGGCCAGCCCTGAATCCCGATATTACAATCTATCTCACATGCAAACATACACATGCTAGGAACAATTTAGAGTGAAGCCAATTAACCTACCAGCATTTCTTTGGAGCGTTGGAGGGACTAGGAGTAACCGGAGGAAACCCACCCAAGCACAGGCAGAACATGCAAACTCCATGAAAATATTGTCTCTTTGGGAGAATTTACGAATTAATGTAAACTGTTTATTTCTAAATTGACTTACTAGCAGTCACATGATTTTACCTTTTCACTTTATATGACCTGCCCACTCTGTTTCTGAAAAACTCAGCAGTTATCCCAACACAGACTGTTTTATTAACAGATGTAAAATAAAAAGACCCGAGACTAAAATGGAGATATTGTTAAAAAACATAATTGCACATTACCCTCATGTACTTTATTGCAGCTGTGTACAATGCTGTAATAGTCTCTGTTATACCGAGTGGAACATTAAGCAGGGCTGATCATCAGCCAGTAGGTGCAATTACATTTGCTTCTATTGCAATTAACTTTTCGAGAAATAAAAAAAAGCTTTAGAGACAGCTGTATTTACAGACTAATATGCCGAAAAGCAGCATCACAGAAATGTGTTTGCAATTAATGTGTTACTATGCATACAGGAGTGGCCCTGTAATAAGATTTGGATGTCAAAAGCTGAAAAATTTGGAAAACAAATTCAGATTGGAAATATTTAATTGTTGTAACTTCAACAAGTCAATTCTTTGTATTAAAGCTGCATTCTGGGATAATTAAATATTGCCCATCCTTAAGAGGTATGTGTATTCGTACTTGAATCTTGGGGTACTTTAAGATCTGCATGGTAATCCAGGGTAAAACTTTGCCTCTGTGCAGGAGCTTCCTGTAATAAAGACTAGTCACTGCTGCTCTCTCTCCTTGTGCAAGGTGCCTGATCTTAACTCCACCCTCCTCCAGTAGTTTTCTACAGGCAGCCTGTAGTGGGTGGGGCCTGTTGGGTCCCTCTCACAGTTCTGCTCCCCTGACCGGGCTGTGTGCAGCACAGTGATAATGTGAATGCTACATTTAACTAACTAATATATGGGTTTGCAAAAGAAAAACAGTGCACACAAAGTGAGTTTATATCTTTTGTGGCTATTAAGCAACATATTTACAGGAAATGTTTCTGTGGTCAGAGTTCAGCTTTAAATGTTTTAGATGTTATAGTAGTTTATTCTCTACATAGCCTATTGGATCTTTGGATCCTACTGCTGCATCAGTAACCAATCAGCTTGTTGGTGCTTAGAGCATCCCTTTATGTATATAAATATGGAAAAAATAAAAGGGGGTGCAGGTTAGAATATCAATGCTGAAACACCTGACAAGATGCCATCTCATCCATTTACTTTTTTACGTAAGATCTTTAAAGGGAATGTAACACCAAGGAAACAGTGCATGCAATGAATTTGGCCATTGACAAATTAGAAAATATGAGCCCCTTCTTCAGGATACTGTTAAACCCTCTCTCTCTCTTCCCGTAACTGATCGCTGGAGCAAAAAAATCGGTATGCTCATTTTATTTTAAAGAGTTAAAGATTCCTTTAAATTAAATTTCTCTGGATAGAAATTGATGTTTTTTTCACTTGCTTTTTTTAGTTTATTTAATCTTTACAAATATTATTCGATTAGGGCAGGAAAAATCTAAGCCAAAGAATAGAACATTAATTTACTAAAAGCTAAAACCAGAGGAGTACAACAATACATTTTTCTTGATGTCTAAAAATAGGTAGCGGGGCAGAAAAAAAGAACCGTTAAACCACCTACAGAGTAACTCAAATGAAAATTGTACCCTACACTGAGATAAGCAACTATGGTTACAAACAACAGAAAAGCTGTCATTTACACAAGCATGTTGAGAAGAAGAAAAAGCCATTTCTGCTAAGCACTCAGAATGAAAATAACTAGAGGAATGAGTAACACACATAAGAGTGGCAAAGAGACTTGGAACATACAGTATCGTACTGATAAAACTGTATAACGTTATAATGAACAATCCCAGTGTGTCACATTTCACTTCCTGTATTTGATGTCTTTCTAGAGTATCAGATCATATATTAAATAAAATGCTATGGACCCCCAATGTAATGTCAAACTGCCTAATCTCCTCTGCCTCAATAGTATGTTATAAAAGTCACTCCCAGCGATTATTCACTGATCTGTGGGTGTTTATCCAGGCCAGTATATAACAAAATGAATTAAACATATATGTTTTTTGTTGGCTAGCAGCATTCTTGGACAGCAGGAGGAGGTCCTGAATGGCTAAAATCATGGGATGATAAGCTAACATTGCCTACCCTCTACCAGCAGAAGATATTTAAATAATTGCCTAATTTTAAAGGTACCTACAGGAAGTGGCTACTGTCCTTGCATCAGAGGTGGACATAGTCACCAAGGGGACCCTGTGAAAAAACGAATTCCGAGCTTCCAATTCATCTACAGCCCAATTACATTTATTATTTCACTATGTCTAGAGATAGATAGATAGATAGATAGATAGATAGATAGATAGATAGATAGATAGATAGATAGATAGATAGATAGATAGAGAGTAGTCTTTGCAACTCCTGAACTCAAAATATGCAATTTGGGTCATAAAACAAACACCCCCTTTGCCCCCTGCCCAAATTGTGAGAGAATCCTTTTCTGTATGTCTCAAAGCCAAATCAGGCATAGAGTGATGTTCCCTCTGACCAATATAAGTTAGCATATGTAGGGTATCATAAAAATAATCCTCCCAACTCATAGATGCGGGTTGTGTCCAGATCTACATGACAAATGGAGTGGTCCCAATACCTAATGCAAAACCATCTAATATGAATAGGCCCCAAATCCCTAAGGGCCCTTGTACAAATGATATTGTGCATCCCTGCCCTGCAGGCATATTCCAGCCACTGGAATAGATGTTTGGGTTTTTGAAGGAAGGAGGGTTGCACCTAAGATTATCTCAGGGTAATGGGCAGCACAGTGGCGTAGTGGTTAGCGCTTCTGCCTTGCAGCACTGGGGGTCACTGGTTTGAATCCCGGCTAGATCACTATCTGCAAGGAGTTTGCATGTTCTCCCTGTGCTTGCATGGGTTTCCTCCCACACTCCAAAGACATACTGGAAGGTTAATTGGTTCCTGTCTAAATCAGCCCTGTATGTATGCATGGGTTGTAGGGACCTTAGATTGTAAGCACCAGGAGGGCAGGGACTGATGTGAATGTAAAAGCGCTGCGTATATTGTCAGTGTTATATAAATACCTGTAATTAATTGACCTGTAATTAATTAATTATTGACAATTCCAAACCTTCAGTCCATCAACCAATAGTACGTATTAGGAATGCACCAATACTAGTTTTCAGTAAGTACCGATATTTAAATTTCAGTACTCACCGATACCGAGTACCGATACCCGTAATTCCGCTATCATGGAGCCGGCTTTCCAGGCAATCAATAAGGCGGATAATGACACACTGCCCAGCTTCTTGATTGCCCGGGAAGCCGGTTTCATGATGTTTGGCCGGCTTGATGCTAATTGGCCGGGAAGCCAAATACTCTGTATTGGCACCGATATCGATGCTAGTATCAGTATTGGTACATCTCTAGTTCTTATCTAGGCTCAGTTTGGAGGCCTACAGACATACAATAAGGATGTTGCCTGGCCTGACCATGTGTTGCAGATAAAGCAATCATTTTGTTATGGCTGTAGGCACATCAGAGTGAATGAGTAATCAGAAATACCCAAATCCTGCTGAAACCGGCATGCTTGTCTTTTAAATATCTGTTGATTTCAAAAGGCAGTATCATAGGTCAAATGGAAAACCCATTTAATACAATGTGGTTTGAGTAAAAAAACTGCAACTCCACCCACTTAAAAGCTGGCTTCAAACTAACACACAGGAGATAAAGTATTAATACTACAGGTGATCCAACACTGGTCAAAATGCATCTATAATTGGGAATTAGGTGACTGTACCTTTGAAATTTATATAGTATTTGATTTGATGTCAATATAAAAAAGTTATATTGAGCAGGGCAGAAAAGGTAATATAAGAATATATTGCACACCACCCTGTCTATTAGGCTTGAAAATAAATGTTCTTTTTAGAGAAGTTGTCAGCGGAGGTTGACCCCACTTAAATCACCATCGAGGACAGAAAAAATTGTTACAGGAAGAAGTGCCTTACTTGTCTTGCTCCTTCTTTATTATCCCATTACTTGCCGGCTTTTCATCTTGTTGAAAGGTAGGGTTGTCATAAACATGATCAGGAAAGCCATCTGAAAAAAGGAAATGTCAAAAAGATACCAGTCAGGGGCTATAAAAAAAGATACCATCAATCAATCTGTCCACAAACTATTGAAAGAAATAAAAATCATATTACACCGCTATTAAGTTTTTATGTCGCTACATGTAATACTACCTGTAGAAAAGTTATGAATAAATAATTAGTAATAAAGAAAACAGTTAAAATTATATATTGAATAATAAGATACCATAACGTCATCCCCTAAAAGATGCAAACATTCATAGATGTATATATATATACATAATTATTATTATTATTTTACTATCTATAAATAATTTATCCTATGGATTGGAAACGAGAGACACTATCCATCTCTCGGATTTCGCTCATAATAATGTAGCGCCCTCTAAAATGTCGCAATTCAATTTAGAAATACCTGGACTGTAACCAGTCTAGATACTGATTATACAGAGCTCTGCATTCTATAGGTGTCCCTGAATCTGCTGGATTGATTGCTCCTCCTGTTGCTGAGGAAAAAGGGAGCCTTGGCATACAGTGAGGGAGGATCTATCCTCAGATCATGACTATGCACCTGACCCTAGCCCTATATAGGTTTGGTAGCCCAAGCTCCCACGAATGGGACTAATTGAAAACAATGGCAGCAATAAGGACTGATAGTTGGAGCAGCCTTTATGTTGGTGATCTATTAGAATGAAAATGGAATGGTAGAGTATGAGGAAAAAATAAATAAAAGGAAAGTACAATAGGCAAATAAAGACAAAGACACAACATGCAGGACTCAGCAATGACAGTGGATGAAGGTGTAAGCTAGATGCTCTGATACAGACACGTCTACCTAGACAGAGTGGCATTAAGCACATATGCATGACTTGGCTTTGCTTGTAAAAGAAAGATATGTTGTGCTAGATTCTTATGAGTTACATAGTGAATGGGTCTGCTAATAACATTTTTAGGTGCTTTGATTAGCATGAAGACATTGGGGGTGATTTACTAACCTAAACACACACACACACCAGGTGTGTGTGATTTTCACACAGAAAAACGTATTTATCAACCAAAAAGTCTCTAAAAGCATATTTCCACTAATGCCATATATGGAAAAATCATGCACATGATGCATATATAATGCTGCTTCACAGTTTAGACAAAAATGGTTAGCTCATGCATTTACATTCCTTGCATTCATCAACGCAAGCAACACAACATAGAGCTAATTTACCCAACATCACCTTGGAATTCATTCAGGGCTTTGCACAACACACCTGCTGGGTGTGTACACATTACAAAGGTGTTTAGATTCCACCCATAGATCATGTTGGGAGGGAACACACTGCAGAGGTGTATACACGTTCGTGGTGTGTTTATAAGGTTAGTAAATCAACCCCATTATCTGTAAAGAATCATTGCATTTTGTCCATCATTAACTCTAAAGTTTCACCTTCTGTTATGACTTATTAGTTAAAAAAAACATAATTAGCAAGAATGGATCAAAATAAACAGTTGCCAAGAGAAAGTAATAAAGAAGACAAGCGAAGCAACAAAAGTCTGTTTTCATTACAAGTTGTAAATGGTTTGAATGTTTAATCGGTAGTTCAGCTACAGATGAACAGCTATTCCCATTGAGAAAAAAAAAGACACTTAACTTAATTACACACAATAGTAAAAAAAAACATATTAAACTAAAAACTAAACTGTATAATAACTGACTTACCAATGACGTGTTTGTCTCTCTTTGTAATTTCTGCAGACTCTCTCATATTGACCAAGTGATTATAAGAACCTGAGACCTGTTGGAACGTAAAATGACACTTGTGAATATTCTTCTCTAGTGGAATGACTGACTGAGTACATGTATCAAATCATGCTGCAGCTTACACAATGAAGATGTTACTGTGTTCTTAACCTAGGTTGCCACCTATAAGGGCATTGTCAACAAACAATTCATTATTTATAAGCTTCATCGTATATACAACAGTGTCAAGTAATTGGGAAGAAGCAAAATGAAACACGTTATTTGTTTTATTTAAGTTAAAATAATAATTATTTATTCAAGGGATGTCGATATTGTAATTAAACTCTCCTGCTTATTTTTTTCCCTCAGTTATGAGAGAAACAATAACTGAAAAAAAATATGCAGGAGACTTTAATTACATATTAGAATGAAGTTAGTCATAATGTCTTGACATCATCCCCTTAATTAAATAACTATTTAACAACAAAAAGGTTATATAACTACCCAACTTAATGTAGTCAAATTATAGTCTTCTGTAAACTATGACGTTATTAAAAGTTGAGGAGGAGCCACAAGTTCTATCTGATGTTGCTTGGGGGCAATACCTCATCAGATTCTCACCTTAGCTGCATCTCAGTGAATGGAAGGGTCACAAGCACAGCCACTGGTTACAGAAAACAGTATAATGGCATCATCATAATGTACCCTGAGGGTAAATAAACTTTGTACTAAAACCTAAGAGGTCAAAGGTTTGTTCCTCTTAAGTACACATAGCATAAGCTACAAAATATTTAAAAAATGCTTCTTGCTTTTACTTGGGTTAAGGTTTCTTGGACTCTTAAGGGTTATTATTATTATTATTATTATTATACAGGATTTATATAGCGCCAACAATTTGCTCAGCGCTTTACAAAATAGTGGAGACAGTACAGTTACAATACAATCTACAATACAGTTTAAGAACAATAGGGTTGGGAGGGCCCTGCTAGTGAGAGCTTACAATCTAGTAAGAGGGGCAAGTGATACAAAAGTTAATAATTGTTTGGATTGAGTTATTGGAGGAAGTAAAAGGCAGTTATGTTGAGATGAGATATGCTTCCCTAAAGAGATGGGTTTTTAAGGATCGCCTTAAGGTGGGCAGCGTAGGAGATAGATAGAATGGGGTAAGGGTTAAAATGTCTACTTGTTTTTCCTTCTTTGTAATGTTAGGAGCCGTTGCTAGAACTATGAGGTGAGTGAAAAGCACTCACCTCATAGTTCTCCTTTAAAGATAAAAAGCCTGGCTTCTCCATTGTATGTTAATGAAGTTAATAGGAGAAACACAATTCACACAGTTCTGTCCAAAGTCTTTCTATAAGGACAGATCACTGTAAAGGGGCTCAGAAAAACCTCAATTCAGCCATGTCGTCTGTTGCTGCTGCAACAAAACTTCTAAAAGGTAAGAAATATTTTTAAAGAAATTATTTTTTGTTATACTGTGTGAATAGATATACATATACATATAAGCATTTAGAGGGGTTTTCTTAAATTTCACATCAAAAGTGGAAATACACTTTAAGCAATTCAAGCTGAGCACTATGATTAAATACATGGACAGAGGTCACCTCATTGAAAAACGTCAACCTGGTCAGTGATTGAGAAGATAAGGACAGCTGAAATCATGTACAAATCTTGAAAGATTTGATTTACAGTGCCCCTTTCCACTTCCCAGGACTTCCTATTGGTCCTCTAATGTGATGGTTGGCCACAATTACATATAGGAACACTCAAGGGGTGATAGTTGTAGTTCTCTATATCCGTTACCATGCTGCATTTCTGTCGAGGGTATTCCTGGGAGTTGTAGTCCCCTATAGTCGTTACTATTCTGCATTTCTTTAGAGAGTATTGCTGGGAGTTGTAGTTCTCTATATCCGTTACCATGCTGCATTTCTGTCGAGGGTATTCCTGGGAGTTGTAGTCCCCTATAGCCGTTACTATTCTGCATTTCTTTAGAGAGTATTGCTGGGAGTTGTAGTTCTCTTTATACCTTTCATTTTTATCGCTTGCATTTTTTCTCATTATGGGCCTGAGTGGGGCCTCATTTTTAAGTTTCGCCTAAGGCCTCGCAAAGTCTAGAGCCGCCACTGGTGAGAGGGATACGAGCCAAAAGTTTACAGGAAAAATTGAGGTTTGCATACAATATTAGCTACCAATATCTTTGGATCTACTGATCATTTTAACATGAAGTTTTCACTGAAGATAACCTCTGCCTGTGCACTTCTTTCACTATATGATCAATATGGTTTTCCTGGGTTTGTGACAGGTTTATTATAAAATGTTAAACATTTTCAGATGGTATGATCCACAATTATGCACAATACAAAACCAGTTTAGCAGGAAGTGCCCATTTTCACTATAAGCCTATTTTAAATTCATTAACCTAGGTACTATAAAATTAATAACTAACTGAGGGCTGTCGGAACAGTTTGTTCATGAGGCCTTGGTCAGAAAATCAGCTGTACATTACCATCTTCCACAGAAAATAGATCAGGTTGATCAGGTAGTTTATCTATTTATTTATCCAAGTCATGGTATAGCTAGTGGCAGTCTCTGTATCCTTTTAGTAAAGGTTTTCTTTCAAATAATTTTTTAAAGAGAAACATTGAGGTTGTCAATGCTTCTCATTATACAAATGTTGCTTTGCTGTTATGCTGACTCTAAGTCATAGTAATCAAATATGATTACTATGACTTCTGGTTTTGATCTCTGACTTTCCTGATATGCATATAGTACTTGTTTTGGGTCAGTGACTCCAGAGAAACCACAAGGTAAGTGTAGTAGCTTTAAAAGGAGAACTATGGGGTTAGGGCTTTTCCCCATAGTTCTCCTTAGGGTAACAGGAGGACACAAACTAGCGTCCTCCCGTCACCCTAAGCTCAGTATACCGCCAGCTGTAGCTCGCGGTATACTGAGACGCCGCAGCTGAAGCGGATCCCGTCAATTAAGTCTCGATCTGCCCAGCTGCGTGAGTGACAGCTGGCTCTGCCTATCTAGAGGCAGAGCCAGCTGTACCAGCCCCCTCCCCGTCCATTTCACCAGTCAGCGCTGGAGGATCTGCGCGGGGAGAGGGGAATCCAGTCCCTCCCATGTCACGGCAGAGAGCCGTGACAGGATCGAGAAGTGAGCGAACGCCGGTATGTGTTCGCTCACTTCCCGATCTACTGAGCCGACCTGTAACAGTATCATTGTCACAGGTCATCTAGATTTATGAGGTGAGTGAAAAGCACTCACCTCATAGTTCTCCTTTAAAGCGGACCTTTACACTCAAAAATCAAATTCTACCAATGCATCCCTCTATGTATGATGATTAATAATAACATAGGCATGTCAGGTGTAAAATGCTGTGATTTTCAAATACTTACACTGGCAGAGCATTCAGTTTCTGCTTTGAGAGGACAAAATGACTTCAGTTTGCCAAAGCAATGCACACTGGGATTGCCTTGTCATCAGCAGAGCATTGCTGGGTAATCTCAGGAGATCACAGGGAAAGGCATTTTTCCCCTGAGATTATGTGCATGGTCACATGATCTAGTCACATGTATAGTCACATGTGCCAGATTTTCAGGAATTAAAGGGAGAGCTAATCTGCCCTAAGTAAACATGGCCACGAATACTGGGTGGGAAAGGAGAAACAAGGTATGCAAAGAATACAAAGCCTGCAATTGTGGACGTTTACCCCATATCTTTATAATAACAACAAGCACCTTTAGAAATATTTAGTAATGGCAATCTACTAATAGATACTTCTATCTAGAAGTATCTATTTGTAGATTGCCATTAATAAATATAGTAAATGTGTTTGTTGTTATTATAAAGATGTGGGGTAAAGGTCTGCTTTAAGATACAATACTTGAACTCAAACCTTTTTCCAGTGAGCTGGAAACTTGACCTTTGAACACGTTTAACCAGTTAAGGACTTTCATCATAAGAGAGGTATGCCTTAAAAGGTTCCTAGCGCATACCTCATATTACGTGGTTCTCTTACCCTATCATGGCCGTTTGGCAACTATAATTGGCAAGTCATTTTTGATAAATATGTACCAGCATGTTTCCAGTATTCAGGCTCCATCTGGGTACCATTAAAAGGGCTATTTGAACGTACTCTTGCTTGGCGTGCAGCTTTTAACATTGTAACCTTGCAAAACAAGCCCTAATTCACACAGAAGCAAATTGTAGGGTTTACTTCAAATTGCCTTATGTCAAAACATTAATTACACTATTGTGTTGTTTCTGTAACTGCCTCCATTGATATAAAAGGAAACTGTCACCAAAAAAAGAGGACTTGCACATTCAGAAGTGATTAGAAAGTGACATGTTTCTGCCAAGAAGTCAATCAGTGTCTGGATTAACACTATATCATCACTATATCATCATACAAAATCATACCGTGAAATGTGTTTTTTCATCATTATCTTCAGTTTTCAGGATCAGAGCTGTATTAAGGGCTCTGTGGAGAAACTGTGGCTTCTCCATTCCTGACTACTGTGCAAATTGTGAATAAATGTACAAAAGTAACCAGGATTTGAATCATTTTATAGTCTGCTGTATATTTCCAGCAATGTCACTTTACCCAGCACCCACCTAAATTTGCTTGTTACTACCTCAGACATGTGATAATATAATCCTATAGACACAGAAGTCCACAAGTTTTGGATGAGGGTAGTATTTGCTTACACCAAGGAACACTGTTAAAGGACAGTTACTCAGGAGTAAGACATAACTGTGTTTTGACCTTTTACAATTACAAAATATATCATGTAGCACCCATACAATTAAAGCATGTTCCTGGGCAAAAAAAATATTTAATACATCTCTGAAATGCATACACCTTTTCCCATTTCTTATCCTTTTAAAAATGCTCAAATACTGAAAAAATACCTGTTGATCTGCTTGAAATCCAGTGTGCTTCTAACTTGTTTGGGCTGACAACACAATAGGGTAGATTTACTAGGGGCGAATAAGAAATAGAAATTTGTACTTTGCAAGGGAAGTCTCCCCTTAGTTTAGTGAATGAGA